AAGGCAACCTGTAGTGCCTTGATTGATTGCGGAGCGTCTCGCAACTTTATGAGCCAAGCCTTTATGGCCCGCGCAGGTCTTGGCCCGCGCGTTCGAAGGAAGACGCAACCTACGCAACTTACACTCGCGGACGGCCRCACGCAAAAGTCAATTGACCGATGYGTTGACGRCGTTCCGGTCTACTTTGCGCCACTTGCGTGCGAGCCGGTGTCTTTCGACATCCTCGACACCAAGTTCGACATGATTTTAGGCACGTCTTGGTTGCGTAGCGCCGATCATCCGGTGAACTTCCATGACCGAACCGTTCACATCCGTGATCGGAACGGAGTGTTAGTCCCATGTACGGTCGCGACTTCTCACACTTCGATTGCTTGTCACGTGGTTTCCGTTGTGAGAATTCGCGACGCCATTGCTCGGAATGACATCGAGGAGATGGGCCTTGTATTCTTGCATGCTCTCCCCTCGCCAGACGGACCAGCCGCGTCACCGCCGGACCCACACATTTCTCACCTCTTGGACGAGTATAGAGACGTCTTCGAGGCTCCCACCGGAACGGTTCTGGATCGGCCAATACGTCACGGGATCRCTCTCGAGGCTGGCGCCGTCCCTCCGCGTGGATGCATCTACCGCATGAGCGAAGAGGAACTCGAGGTGCTTCGCGCACAACTCGATGATCTTCTCGACAAGGGTTGGATTCGCCCTAGTTGCTCGCCATACGGTGCACCTGTTCTCTTCGTTCGGAAAAAAGAACAAAGATCTATGGTTATGCATCGACTATCGGAAACTTAACCCACAAACCGTAAAGAACACCGACCCTCTCCCTCGGATTGATGATCTCCTTGAGCGGTTAGGCGGCGCGACGTACTTCTCGAAGTTGGACTTGAAGTCAGGTTACCACCAGATTGAAATCCAGCCTCAAGACCGGTACAAGACCGCGTTCAAGACGCGGTACGGGCATTTTGAGTGGGTTGTCATGCCCTTTGGCCTCACCAATGCCCCCACAACTTTTCAAGCAGCAATGACGACTGAGTTTCGCGACTTGCTCGATCGCAGCGTCCTCATCTACCTTGATGACATCTTGGTTTATAGTAGGACGTTGGACGAGCACATCGTACACCTTCGCGTTGTTCTGCAAACGTCGTACACCTTCGCGTTGTTCTGCATCGTTTGCGACTAGCCAAGTACAAAGCGAACCTCGACAAGTGCGAACTCGCCGAGCAAGAGCTTGAGTACTTGGGTCATTTTGTCACGTCGAAAGGCATTCGTCCCTTAGCGGACAAGATCCAAGCCATCGTGGATTGGCCGGAACCCCGTTGCCCGACGGATGCACGCTCTTTCATGGGTTTGGCTGGATATTATCAGCGATTCGTCGAGTCATACTCGAAAGTGGCCGCTCCTTTGTCGAGACTTCAGTCCCCGAAGGTGCCCTTCGAGTTCGA